AAGTCATGAATGTAGACGAACACAGTCTAAAGTAGAAGCCGCCGAAGTGAACTGTACAACCACCACCAAATGATCCAAAAGGAATCAGCAAGCGAGGTAGGCAAGACGATGCCGCAACCAACCTTCACTAGTAGCAAGGCACCAAAATATGCCCACCTGCATGCGAGCAGGGCAAAAGCTGGCAGATCGCAACCAGCCAAGCCAAGAAGCTGCCAACCGGTGGTTCCAAAGCGAGGAAGCAGCGCATTGCATGAGCAGCAAGTTGGGGGGAGACGTGAGTCAAGAGCTGGAAAAGGTCAGCTCACTAAGCCGAAGCGTCCTAAACAAGAAGAACCACTGCAAAGAAGGTGAGGCAGGAGTTCAAGGACGAATCGCCAGCTGAACAGACCAGCGTTAGAGGCCCGGAAGCCTCACCAAGTCAAACATCACAAATGCTTCTTGGCCAAACAGAACCCCTGAATGTGCTTGCAAACCAAGCAAGTGCCTGGGCGTGTCGCGAAAGCAGGACCCCCCCTTGAAAAGCCGTGGCATCCCCGAATGGCCTCCTGAGCTTCGCATTGTTCGGGGCTCACGAGGAGCAAGAGGGGGGAGACATCACAAGGGTTTGAGCATTGAGGCTGTGGGCCGTGGCGCTCTGGTGACCGCATGCCCTCCTAACATGGACGTCATTTTGGTGTGAGCTCGATGCTTTCGTGCTGTGGTCGTCCTGTTGGGTTGGGCCTGGATGCTGACTGGAAGCTCTGGCACCATGGACGTGATAAGTCATGGATGTAGGATGGAGGCCACGGTGACATGGTGCTCTCCCGACATGGACCTTTTATGTGTGTTGTATGTGTTGTGCTGATCAAGGATGATCATGTGATGACTGGAATCTGTCGCAACATGTGGCTTGGGTGTGGATGCTTCGGGTACCGGATCCTCTCGTGGCATGGGCGCTATCATGAGTTGGCCTTGGATTTTCTACTACAAACAATGGCACTATTATTATTTATGGACTAGTGAATACTCTGGTGACCGGGTGGTCTGGTGACATGGGCTTTGTTCTGGCCTCGTCATGAATGATCATGATGATCTTGCTACCGGACACCGTTCGTCCAATTTCCCTCGTCTTGACAGTGGACTATTGCCGAGATGCCTGGTGGCCGCAGCTTTTCGGCCTTCAAAAAAGGAAATGCGCCTGTGATGAGTGTGCTGCCGCGCCAGCCATACCCAAAGGGTAAGGGATCGAAGAAGACACTCTGTAAGTGGGGGGCAGAGGGCTCAAAGTACTGCAAATGGCATGGCAATTCCGACCATTAAAACAATTGCAGAAACAGAGTACTATGATTAGAGTTAGAGCGCCTCAACAGCTGTAAACGCCACGATTCAAAGGTGTTTGGAACACGCGGTCGAGGTGTTCAGAAGCTCCAAATACTGTAAACGTCGCAATTCAGAGGTGCTGGGACGTTCTAATTAATGCAAATGGCGCGGTTTGGAGGTGTGCGCAGGCTGCAGACACTGTACATGACACAAGCCCACAGTGTTCGAGGCTGCAAAATGGGGCAAAGATTACCAGTTCAGCTGGAAGTGTCCGGAACGCAGGAGAAATCTCAATATCTAGATGTAATCTTATTCGGACCTTCCAGTTATTCTGCTGCTTTGAAACCTTGGGGCGCAGCACCCACCCCCCATTTCAAAAACATGGATCAACATGAGGACATGTTACTGTTACGTCTTGTTCCAAGGTTTTGCAGACGGGCGCAGTTGCTCGGGGGGGTTGCGGCCATTCTTGCTAGCATGTTGCTCCTGATGCGTTTAAACGTCTTGCGCTCGCCAGCATTTTACATTGGTTTCAGGCGCTGACGTGAATCTTGCGAGAACCGAAACTGATGACTATCTCCGTGCACGAAACTCGTCATGCTTTTTGGCCTCTGTTATGTGTGACTTTCGCTTGACAGGTCAAAAGTACTGCGCTTGCCCTAATTTGAGATCTTTTATCTCTTCATCTTTTCCTATCTCTCTGTCTGGTCTGCATTGGACGGCTGCGCCTGAAACCTTCTTTTGTGTGTTTCTTGTTTGGGGGCA